ATCCTAGAATCATAAGCTGATAATAATGTATGGCTACATGCTTGTTAGAGCAAAATATATATGTACCAGGAATAGATACTGAACTGAGATTTATAGCTTTTTTTTTTCTTTCCCAGCGATCTTAATTTCTTATACATCTAGTTAAGATGTCATCTTAATTCCTATTAGTCATCGCTTTAATGGTAAAGGTACTATACTATTGTGTATTGTATGATCTTAGCACTTGTTCAGCTGTTGAAGACTGAACTAAGTAGTTGTACAATTTTAACTTGGCAAAATTTGCTACCGGACATGTCAAGTGACCCCTCTTTGCTAGCGGACATACAAAATTTGGCGAATGCTATAAATTTGACACCGGACCGAATAAATATTCATTTCCGGGTTTCGAGGAGAGAGAAGCACGGGAAATGTCCTTTGCACCTTGTCTCCTTCCTCCGCCATAAACAACAACAGGGGAAGGTGCAGGCTTTGAATCGAGGCCTTTGAGGGGTTGGGCGGACGTGCCATGCCACTGCGGTTCCAATGGAGGCAACGGGTGGCGAAAGGAGGTAGATCGATGATCTCAAGTTGGCGGGCGGCGGCGATTCGAGAACAAGCAAGAGAGGAGGCTCGAGGAGGAAGGAGTGGTGGCGGCGTCGATCGCCAAGTGCCGGTGCTTCCCTTAAATAGGGCGGGGAGGGGAAGGATGGCGGTCAGCGAACTTAAAAGCCGGGTCATCAATGGCGGCCTGTGTGGTCGCTTTCCAGAGAGAGTCTCGCTTTTTATAGGGGCGGATTCAAACAATGGCGCCATTCGACACGCAGCAAGGCAGGGATCTCTGTAGGTATATCGACAAAGCTTTCAATAGCCCTACGGTGGCTCCCTCTACTTGGCCATGGTGTTGCTCGGAGGGGGGATGGAGGAGGGAGGATGCGGTGCTCCAGGAGGGGCACAGCCTAGCAACTTTTGGCTTGTTGCACTTGCTCTTGCAGATGGGGAAGAAGAAAGGGCAGGGCAAATTGGATATTTTACCGTCCTTCTCTCTCCACAGCAGCTAGAAATTAATATTTTACAAAAAATTTGTAAAACCACAATGTCCACCAAAAATCGTCAAATTTTATATGTCCGTAACAAATTTTGCCTTTTAACTGGTGTATATTAAATTTTTACCGCTTCTCAACTTCCATTTTGCTTATATGTAGGTCTGCACCAAGAGCCCCAAGACGATTCAATAGCTGCTTTCCAAGCACTCCTATTCAAACATAGATCTCTCTAGGTATATCTAAGTTTTCCAATAACTATGTATACTGATCTGAGTTACTTGAGAACAAATACTCAACAACTTTTGGGAGCAGGAAGGGAAAGAAATTTGGAAAATCGCAAGACACTAAACCATGGAGGTTTTACTTCAGATGAACTTGGAGAAGAAAAAACTACCGATGATTTAGAACTTCCATTTCTCAAATTCCAAGATATTTTAGTCGCAACAAACAACTTCTCCAATACGTTTATGATCGGACAAGGAGGTTTTGGCAAAGTTTATAAGGTACTTTACGATGGAAGCTCCTATGTTGGCTTTTCCTAGAGTGATTATCTAATTAATTAATCTGCACAACATATCCCAATCTTGCTTTTCTGTGACAACTACAAAGGGGACATTAGAAGGTGGTCAAGAGGTTGCTATCAAAAGACTTAGTAGGGACTCGAATCAAGGAATTCAGGAGTTCAGAAAGAGGTTGTTCTAATTGCCAAGCTACAGGATAGAAACTTGGTTAGATGTCTTGGTTGCTGCATTGAGGGAGACGAAAAGCTGTTGATTTATGAGCATATGCCTAATAAAAGCTTGGATGATATCATTTTTAGTATGTTCTACTAATATTTACCATAAGTTCAATATGAGGTTAAGTTATGATATAATTATATTTTTCATAATTCCATAATTGTTCACCGTAGATTGTGCAAGAAATGCACCGCTAGATTGGCCAACAAGGTTCAAGATAATCAAAGGAGTTGCAAGGGGACTTTTATACCTCCATCGTGATTCAAGATTGACAATAATTCATAGGGACCTCAAAGCTAGTAATGTGCTACTAGATGCAGAGATGAGACCCAAGATAGCTGACTTTGGCATGGCAAGGATCTTTGGTGATAATCAAGAAAATGCTAATACCAAGCGAGTTGTTGGGACATAGTGAGTGGTATTTTAATCTCAATACTTAAATTAACCTTTAATCCCAATACATAAATTAACCTATGATTGGTACCAATTCATTCTCATAACTTTCACAAATGAAATGGTCTTAACAGTGGCATTTTCTCTTTGAAGTCTGATGTCTATAGCTTTGGTGTTCTACTTTTGGATATTTTGAGCGGTATAAAAATAAGCGTTGTTGACCACATGCCAGGTTTCCCAAACCTTATAGTCTATGTAAGAAAATATGATTGCCTTTTAATTTGCTCATACTAAAAGATTTTAAATGTTCAGTGTTACGCAATCTAAAGGAGTGATGTGATTGTTTCAGGCATGGAACCATTGGAACGAAGGAAAAGCAAAAGATCTGGTTGACAAATGTATTGTGGAGAACTGCTTACTAGATGAAGCTTCACTTTGCATTCACATGGGGCTTTTGTGTGTGCAGGAAAATCCGGACGATAGGCCATTGACGTCTTCTGTTGTGTTCAACTTGGAGAATGGGTGCACAACACTACCAACGCCAAATCACCCTGCATATTTTTCACAGAGAAATAGTGATATTGAGCAAATGAGAGAAGGCATTATGAATACTAAGAACACTATGACTCTTACAGTGATAGAGGGGAGATAGAGTGACTTCATTTTTAGTCACAAAATATTTACCTACGTTAACTGTAAAACAGATAGTGCTTGCTTTAGCAGCAATCTGGAAGTTAAACATTGTACTGCTATCTTTTCTCTACTAGTATGGCGCACACGCTTTCTTTGAAAAACCAAATGCAGCCTGAATGGAATAATCTAAACGGATATGTCAAGCTCAACATCCTACTAAGGTTCAGAGATGATACAGAAAGCATATAGGGTTTGTAAAAGATGATACAGAAAGCATATAGCCTGAAATTTCCATTTTTATGATTTTCTTTATTTACTATGATTTTTTAAAGATTCAGCCAAAATAAATAAAAAAGAAAAAAACAAAACCGCCATCAAAACCGCTTATAACAGGGTCAGGAAGGTAAGATGAACGGTTTTAAAAGTTGGGAGAGGTGTTTTGTTTGGTTTTGGAGTTCAGGAAGGCAAAGCGGACTTTCACGAAAAATTGAAGGTGGTAATGTGGACTTTCCGTCGAAAGAGAAGAAAGCTCGTCAAAGCCCATCCTGTCGGGGTGCAAGTTGGGCCAATATTTGGGAGACCCCACGTGCCAGTGGAACATCTAAAAACCAGCCCACTTGTCTAATGCGACTCCACCTGGCCCGGCCTGTCCAATCCCCTTCCATCTCCGAACTGGAAAAAAGCCCACGGAACCCTAGCCTCCCGAGTCCCGACCCCGTCCTGCTCGCTCCGCCGTCCTCCGTATTCCACCGTTCAGCTGCCGGCGGCAGCGGCGCAGAGAAGAGCCAATCCGCCGGCTTGATCTGAAGCATGGACAAAGTCTTAGGTCCATTTTCGACAGTAAAGATCCTCCACATGTTCCAGTGTTGTTCCATCTCATCGGTAACAAGTCTTTTATCATACACGCAGGCTGCAACATGCGCTGGCACAGAAAATGGACGCCTCTGGCTATCGCGGGAAGGCTCCACAGAGCGTGCAGGAAGAGAACATGAGAAAGCTCACTGCTTTGTTAGAACATCTAGAGGTCATCAGTGAAACTGAGAAGAAATTAGATGCAAACTGAGTTTCTGACCTCTGTTTTGAAGACGCCCTGCTTGTACCGAAGCTGGACCCACATTTTTCTTGTTTGCAAAAAGCTCAGTTATTTACCTGTACGCTCAGGTTTACAACTGATGGTTCAGAACTTCAGATGGAACCACACCTTTTGCAGCGTGTAAGAATGCACTGGCTATATAGAACCGTATTTTTGGATGTTCGTTTTTGAAGTTAGAAACTTTTGATTCTGATGCATATGGGATCTCTGTCAGAAAATGCAGTAGCGGTGCTATTAAGGTTTCAGGTTTGCTGGCCTCACGCCAGCGTGTCACTTGTGGATCAATTCATTTGCGTCAAAAAATTGCGAATCAAGCAATAGCAGCCGTGCAGGGACGGTAGAAGTGTAGAACTAGTGTTGTGGGTGCGCTCCGTCTTTCAGCTGAGCGCGCTGAGACAGTGGATAAAGCTGAAGGAACTTCAAGTTTGGAACGGTCAAGCGTGCATGTACCAGTACCACAATGGTGTGCAAGCGGGAGTTCCTGCAGGAACGAGACGGGCCGTCGCCGTACCGCGTATCGTTCACAGTTTGTGTAACGCACTGGTTTTGGGAATAGAGGAGTAGGTTGGACGTGCTGGCTCGGAAATAAATTGGGTGAGCGACGGGCGCACCGAAGACCGCGTGCGAAGCAGAGCTCGGTATCGCAAGTCACGTTGGGTACGGCACCATAGGCCCGTCATCGCCGTGCGATGCTGTTGGACTCTACGTGTCGCACATCAGAAAGGGGAGCACACGCGGGCATCGATGCGCCCGTCGCTCACCCAATTTATTTCCGCTGGCTCGGTTGCAACTTGCAACTGGACCGCGCGTGCGGCGAACAAGGGCATCATATTTGGTTTCACCCACTAAAAAAGTTGTCACACGTACACTTTAGTCACTTTTAACTACCTCTTATGACAAAGCCACTAAACTTTAGTGATCCTTAAACTTTAGTGGAGGTATTTGGTGTTTTAATTTTAGGAGAGGTGAACCAAACAGGCGCTAACAGATGTCCATGCAGTGTGAAGTCACCAGGTCTCAAATGTCAAAAAAAAAAAATCAAAATCATTGATTCATTGCAGAGGGACAAACGCCCAGAAACACGCATCTGAAGAAGAAAAAAGGTCAGCGTTGCTCCGTTGACTACCGTCCCTGAAGGACAGTCATGGTCATGGAGTTCCTGGAGGTCTGCACATCGTCTCCTTCTACTGCCTTATTACAATTCCTCTCTGCGAAGTAAGCCGGCTGTTCCGGCGCCGGCAGAGACACGCTCCCGTTCTCCAGGATGGACACCACGGACGACATGAGCGGCCTGCCGTTCGGGTCGTCCTGGACGCACAGGAGCCCTACGTGGACGCAGAGCAAGGCTTCGTCCAGCGCACAGCTCTCCGCGATGGATGAGTCCACCAGGTCACTTGCGTTCCCTTCGTTCCATAGCTTCCATGCCTGAAAAAGATTCAAATAATGATCAGATATAAATCACTACAGTGCAGTTCAAGTGTTTCAGGCATAATGTCCTGACAGAATCAGAAATTAATGTTTGCACTGTATAGGAGTATATATACTTACATAGGCTACAAGGCCCGGAGATCCCTTGATATTATCGGTAGAGCTTATCCTGACGCCACTAACAATCTCCAGGACCAACACACCAAAGCTATAGACGTCAGACTTGACAGAAAAGACGCCCTCGGTTTGGTATTCAGGAGCTATGTAGCCACTAGCAGCACCATCAGAAAATTCAGAGTCGTCAGACACAAACCAAGTCCAACAATCATATGCAAAAATCAACGTTGAAAAGACAACATTTTAAGGAATATTTTCCATCTGTGCTACTGTACTCACTATGTCCCAACAACCCGCCTAGTGTTCGCCTTCTGCTGGTTGTCGCCGAAGATCTTGGCCATACCGAAGTCCGCTATTTTAGGTCTCATCTCCGCGTCCAACAAAACATTGCTCGCTTTGAGGTCCCTGTGTATCACTGTCAGTCTTGAATCTTGATGGAGATACAGGAGCCCCCTAGCCACCCCCTTGATTATCCCCAACCTTGTAGGCCAATCCAGCAGTGATTTCCTTTCGCTATCTGCAATAAACAGCGATAACCACACGGGGGAATCATGTTTGCTGCTTCAGTGTGACGTTTTAGCATCTTCAGTTATGATGAGTGCAACATACCGAAAAGGATAGCGTCTAGGCCTTTGTTGGCCAAATACTCATACACCAGCAGCCTCTCGGCTCCCTCTGTGTAGCAACCGAGAAGCCGAACCAGGTTCCGGTGCTGCAATTTGGAGATCAAGGTAGCTTCGTTCTTGAATTCCTCTATCCCTTGTTCAGAATCCTTGCTGAGCCTCTTGACGGCGACTTCGCGACCACCTAATAATGTCCCCTTCAGAATAGCAGAACAATAACTGAGTGTTGACTCCTGAGTACCATTTTGAGTTCGTGGGTTCAGATTTGGAAAAGGATACGCCGCAGAACGTAATGTTACCTTGTAAACTTTCCCAAAACCCCCACGCCCAATCATACATGCCCTCGAGAAGTTATTCGTCGCCGCGACGATATCACTGAATTGTATGGAAGAGAATTCTTTTTCGAAAGATCGCATGGAAGGGAATTCGAGATCTTCAGTAGGATTTCCTTCTCCAAGCTCACTTGAAGTTTGCACGCTACCGGGAACCAACTTCTTCGCACTTTCATTGCTTCCTCTCTTATCTGAAAAATTGATGTTAACAGCATTTATCTCGTGATATCATATATGCTGACAAAAAAGAAGAGAAATATATAAATGTACCTCTGGTCTTGCAAAACCAAACAATGAAAACGCACGAAAGCATAAAAATGCTCGCCAACACCGGTAGAACAATTTTCACTATTTTTCTCCTTGTCTTTCTGCCTGCACAAACATAGGGTAAGTTTGGTGAGCAATTGCAAGAAGACACTGCCATCCGAAAGATTTACTCCTATTTTGAAACAATGGCATGGGGCGGGAAATGTTTTTTTTTTGAAAACCGGGTGCCGTGTCTAATAAATAATAATAGGAAAAAAAGAAAAGAATAATAATAATAATAGAAACGAAAATTGAACCTGTGAATCCTGCAGGAACGCGGAGGTGTAGCGTCTCAGAAGTGATGCCCCAGAGCGCGCCGATCATCTGCGTGTCGACGAGGTCACCGGTCCACACGAGACACCGCGCGATGTCCCCCTTGGCGCTGCTGCTGCGCAGGTTCGCGTACGCGTACGCCACGCAGGAGCAGTTCCGACGGCACTCCGCCGCGCACTCGTCGCCGGAGCTCATGTTCCCCAGGAGCACGAACTTGTCCGGCACCTTCATGTTGGGCATCGCCAAGAACGCATCCCCCTCGTCGCCGCACGGTGCCAGCGCCTGACTCCGGCGGCAGCCCGCCGAGAAGACGCCGCCGCTCCACTCCGCTTGGCTCGCCGGCTCGAAGCCTTCGAGGCATTTGCACGTCGCCACGGGCAGCGTGTTGTCGCAGTAGCCGTAGGCGCCGCAGCTGCCGTAGGGGCTGCAGGAGCGCGACGGCCAGGACTCGAGCGTGGTCCACACAGACGCGTTGCGGTTCCAGCTCAGGAGCTGGAACCTGCCGGCGCCGGTGACCACGTACCGCGTGGGCGGCGCACCGTCGTTGACGTAGAAGGTCATGTATATCTCCTCCTCGCTGTCGACGACCGCCACGTAGATGACCGTGCCGGTGGTGGCGTGGTACCTGCTGACGGTCATGTACCCCGTCCACGCCGAGCTGCGCCAGTAGGTGCGCGTCCCGTTCCACACCAGCATCTGGAGCGATGTGTGCGGGTCCATGCCGTACGAGAAGGCCCCCGGAGACGGGTCGCCGGGCCCCCTCCACGACACGATGCGCGCGCCGTCGTGCGTCCGGTAGCGCAGCCCGACCTTCATGTCCGGGATGAACGTGTCCGTCGGGTGGTCGAAGCTCTGCCACAGCGTGGTGCCGTTCGGCGACCGGAGCACGAGGTTGCCGGAGTTCAGGAGCACGGTCGTCGTCGAACCAGCGGCCGTGCCTGAGCCTGAGCTGGTGGTGGCAGTGATGTTCGTCGTCCAAACGACGCGGCCACCGGCGTCGGACAAGACGAGGTTGGAGGAGTCGTCGTTGGCCAGCGCAAGCGACGGCGGCGGCGCAGACGAGGAGTTATTGCCGGAACGCTCGTCGACGAGGACGGGCGCGTCCCGGTTGGCGACCCACACCACCGTCTGCACGGGGAGGTTGTTGTACCATATGCCGACGTACTGCCTGCCCGGTGTGGCGTTGGAGGGGGCGAAGAATCCCAGCACGAAGGCGCCGTCGTCGGACACGATGGTCTCGCCGGGCAACAGCGACTCCCCATGGGTTAACTTGTCGCCGGCCGGTGAGCAGAAGCGCGGCAAGAGGAGGAGGAGCACGGCGGCGGCTGTGACTGTGATGCAGGTGGAACGTGACCACTCCATGGTTCACGGGTTCAGGTCATTCGGCATAAGGTAGGAGTACAAAAAAGGTGTATGCATTAGTTTAAGGTGGAGGTGCAGCCATGTGTTTTATTTGTCTTGGCTGTTGGCACTCCGATCCAGCAAGGTAGTGACAAATGAAATACTCCTACTCCTACCTTGAGATTGGGCCGGCAAGTGATGATGGTACGGCGATTGAGACCGCGGACCTCCCTTGGACTAGCTGTCTAGCTTAAGCGTTGGGAGCTTCAGAGAAGTTCGGGGCTTGACGCGTGGGCCGTTGGCGTCAGACGGACGCTTGGCAGTGGTGTGCCTACGAGGGACATGGACCATGGCGATGTAGTGGCAGTTAGTTGATGAGGTGAACCAAGAAACGGGTGGTGCGCGGACTATTCTTGTCTGCACGTGTCACAACGAAATCGTCGTCAACAACTACGTTGAATTCTCCACTCGGGGGGTGACTGGGCAGTGGGCACGATGCGGCGATCGAATTGGAGCGCGCGGAGAACAACTCTTGTTGCGGAACCACGGTTTCTGGTACGGTATAAGCTAAGATATTCAAAGAGCGCGTAGAGTTGCACTGTTGTTCAAAGCATGATCCTGTTACCTGGAGAAGTGAAGATCACGAAACCAGGACAGCAAAGAAAATAAACAGACACGCTCCAAAGCGTTGTTAGAAACAAGGACCAGTCTTCTCTGCATTTGTCACGCGCGCGCAATGAAATCTTCGCCAACACCAACCACCACGCAGCTGAATTCTGCTTTAGAACGAAGCAGGCATGACCGCATGATGCTGCGACCGGATGCGACGTCGGAGTGGAAGCACGGTTCCTCGCGTGCCATTCTCAAATCCAATAGTTGCTGACAAATCGTGCTATACTCCTTTTTCATTTTATTTTCCAGAGACATCGGTCCAAACCTAAACATATATTTTCAGCGTATTCGTTGGTTGGTGCTGATTTTTTTTAAAGAAAAACACTTTGACTGATTGAATAAGTCTGGCTAAAACCAATCAACGAATATGTTTGTCCGTCACATGTTAGAAGACGTTATCCGTCCCATATTAAGGGCACCTCCAGTGTGGAGATCGAACCGAACTGACACAAATGAATTCCATGATCAAAAGTACGACCGCTCTAGTGCTAAATCGATGCGTCAGACCTTCATCACAATAAACAAACCAGCGTCAGACCTTCATCACAATAAACAAACCAAAAAGTAGCGTACATGCATGCTAGCATCTGCTTATTTTGTTCTCGTTGGTCCGAACCGTCTGCAGCAGTCGATTTGAGGACTGAGAACCACGGTTCGCACACTGCAGCGTCGTTGGTTTGATCTATCGTGCCCACGGTTCGCTTTTTCAACACACTAGAGGTGCTCTTAGATGGCGTTCACCATTCTTTGTCCTATTCTCTCTGGGTCACCAAGGTGCATGTCTTACTACAAATCATTTCCACCAAGAAAGGGGTCTCCTTGTCCTATGCACGTCAAGTTGCCGCCGGTGAACCACCCAAGCTCAAGTATTTGGCACACCAAGATTGCAAGGTGGACACAACGCTACCTCACGAGCTCTCAAGCCAAGTCCAAATAAGCACTAAATCAAGCACTAAACGTGATTAGCAAGCCTTTGATATGATCACTAAACTCTCATATGATGGATGGAGTGTTCTTTGCTTTTACTAATTTCCTATAGTATCACTGTACTTCAAGACCCTTCAAATGGACGGCCAAGGGGATGCCCCCAAAAGCTCAACTAGCCATTATGCCTATAATTTGTTGAAACAACCCACCGGATGATCTAGTGGGCACAAATACAGTACAAACCTAGTGAGGTATCTGGTCTTGCCAACCATTAGCACTAGAGCTATTGTCACTGTGCCCTAAATCATCAAATTGATATGGCAGTGGTACGTCTCCTTCATCATATCATTCCATGGCTCCATTCAACATATTGTGCACATCGTTGTTCTATACAGGATGATTATGTGGTATTCACCCGCCTTCACTGTATTGTCTGATGCTACTTCGTGTTGTGCCATTCTTCACTACCATGTATCAGGTCTTCATCGTATGATAAGATGCATTATTCTTCCCATTACTAGATTGTTCAGTGCTCTCTATCTCAAGGTGTTTATTCTCTGACATTCATCATATGATCAGGTGGCTTCTAATCAACTGATTCGATGCTTGCTTCTTCGTCGTTTCTTCTCAAATCTTGATTGTTGTTCTTTCATATTGTTTCCTTGCACCCATAGGATCTAAATGAACATGTCTAACACATCTTAGCACACACATCAGTCCTATTTATTGAGTTGTCATTACATTCACCAAAACCCTAATAAAATATGACATTGATCCCATATTCTCTACAAAAGCGGAGAAGGGCTTCTCCCACCATCAACTCACAACAGTGTCCATGCCATAGACAATAGCCAAATGCGCTATTGACTTTAGCATATCAAACTACCATCTACAACATCCTAGCTCGACGTGCCTGCCTAGGATGAAGCCATGCCAACGCACCGCATGCTCCCTTTGCTACACCACCACTCTGCCTCTACGCCCTTGATCGTTGCCGTCCTAACATGTTGTATCATCACTGCAGGCATGTCGGGTGCCTCCATCGTCCCTTCACCTCAACTCCGTTGTCGTGTGCCCCCTATGACCATCATCACTGGGCTAGCATGGAGTTGCTGAGTGCTTGTTTCTGCAATGCCTTCCGACCTCCCCATCATCTGACCACCACCATTACCATCGCCCTTAAGACACCATGAGCCCCACCACCATAGATCTAGCACAAGGAGGATGAGATCCAACCCTCGGGCACTGGATCACCCTCTTTAGCAATAGGTGGCAGCGCCATTGCCACTATAGCACCACTGCTCTAGGGGATATAAGAAGAGGAGGAAACCCCACTATTGCCTTCCTCGGGATATCGGTAGAGAACTCCGATCCAGTGGCAACAAGGTCGATGGGTGGGTAGAGGGGGCGTAGAAGTGGATGGTGATTGGTTTAGCCCTACTTCACAGTTCATTTGAATTCTTTCATAGTTTCATTCATGAATTATTCTTCAAATTTCATTGCAAGAGCCAAAATAAAACACCATCAATCAACTCAATTTATTCAAATTTAGTTCTTTGAGGTTTTTTATTATGTTAGGAAACAAATAGTATATCTAACCTATTGATATTTACAGTAGTCCATCAAGTGGTGCTCCTACATAGGCTAAGAAAATTGATGGTTTGATCACTTATATGTGGTGTGCATGGTAACATACATCATGCATGTATCCTTGAGCTAGTTTTCCCTATATTTATAATTATTAACATGTGTAGAAGTGGGTAATTTATGGGCATATATCAAGTATTAGTTTTGCAAAATTACAATTATGTGCACATAAGTATCAAAGAACGAAGATGATATATATCAATTTCACAAATCTACAACTATTTTTCATACATGTATCAACTTTTTGCTTGTGTGGCACATGTCAACCACAAAAGTTATGTGTATACCTACATGTTAACTTGTGTGGTACCATGTGGATCCATGCAAAATCTTGTAAGAGTGTGAAATTGATGGCACAAGTAGTTGTAGCCGAAAATGATCTTAGAATATGTAGTTCCTTGATAGTTAGACGCGCATGGTTATATTTGAAATTAACTCTATCGAATACTTTGGCATATTTTTGTGTTACGATAGGTAATTTAGATGCTAACTTAGGGTGCTAGTTTAGGTTATTGGAATAATGATATAATTGGGTAATTTTGATGCAATTTGGAGGTTATTAGTTCATAGTATTTTCATGTATGATACTATAGGTCGATTACTTAATTAGATGAAGATTCAAGGGGTTATTTTACGAAAGTAGCAGATTTGAGCAATTCTGTATAATTTTTTGGGGGATATTTAAGTTATTTTCCATTACATCGAAGATTCTTTTTTAATCAGAATAGATCCAATAGCTATTATTAATAATTATTGGAGTTTACCAAATTGGTGGTCGATTATCACATAAGGGAATACTATGATTTATCTCTTTTTCTAGCCCACATCTTTTGAAAATTCATATTGATGTTCCAAAAAGAGGCAATTAAAGTAATGATAAGATTTTCACAGTGACACATGTGAGTAATCTAGATGAAGATAGGGGCTAGGGAGTATAGTTCAGTTATTTTTTATAATGGTAAATGTGGGTATTTTTTTAGAAATTAGAATAATCGTCTCGTGTATATTATTATCAATGATGATTATGGTCTACTAAATTAGTGTCTGTATACATTTTCTATGGTTAATTTTTTTCGAGGACGTCCCATCAATGATAATTCACACGAAGCCTTCAAAAAGAGTCTCTAAGTAGTAATAGTAACATATCCATAAATGAAACTTAATTAGAAAGAAAATGACTTTCAAACCACAAATAGTGATCGACATTTGTTCAACAATATCTTGAACCCTATTCATGTACATCAAAATAGGACTATCGTCCCTCTATTATTGTGAGAGTAAGGGTATTCATGGAGTTGTTTTCATCCCTTATTTGCTCCATACCACCACCCCTCTGTCCACAGTGCCCAGGATTGTTTGGTGTTGGCATTGTGGTGCTTCCATTCTCTAGACTATAGACAATAGATGACATAAGTGGCCTATCAGCTGGGTTTTTCTAAACGCACAAGAGTGCCACATGACTGCAAAGCAAGACTTCATCTAGCAAACAAGCATCCATAATTGATGGATCTACCAAATCTCTTGGATTCCCCTCTTTCCACATGTTCCAGGCCTGAAACAACCAAAACAATTATTTGGATCTATGGTAAGCTAGAACTTCTATACTCTTAATTTAGTTTAGAACTTCAAAAATGACATATACTCACATAGACTATTAGGTTTTGAAAACCCGTGGTGCTACTAATGGAGCTTCTCCTTGTACCGGTAACAACCTCTAAGAGTAGAACAACAAAGCTATAGACATTAGTCTTGATGGAGAAGACACCTTCCATTGCATACTCCGAGGCCATGTGACCATTGTTTGGTCATTTTGGGTCCACAAATTATTAATAGAAGTTGAGTTGAATTACAACTTATTTTAAGAATTTTATTGAAACAATTACTCACTATGTTCCAACAACACGATGAGTGTTTGCATTTTCCTGGCTATCACTGAATATCCTTATCATGCCGAAGTCTGCTATCTTTGGTCTCATTGGTCCATCTAGAAGAACATTAGTGGCCTTGAGATCTCTATGAATTATTGTCAATCTTGAATCTTCGTGGAGGTAGAGAAGTCCTCTTGCAACCCCTTTGATTATATTAAATCGGATTGGCCAATCCAACATTGTTTTTCTTGAATTATCTGCGTGACCATTAAAGTAACTCAATATATATTTTTAACTGCTATATGCTATATCTAGGAACTTATGATGTGATACATACCAAAAAGGTAGCATCTAAGCTTCCATTAGGCAAGTATTCGTAAATTAGAACTTTCTCATCAATGTCAACGCTACAACCAAGGAGTCGAACCAAATTTCTATGTTGTAATTTAGTAATCAGAATGACTTCATTCCAGAATTCTGTTGATCCTTGCTCAGAATCCTTGCTTAACCTTTTGATAGCAACTTCATGGCCATCTAGCTTTGCCTTCAGTAAAAGTAAGGAGAGAAACTTATATTTGAGCTCACCATGTAGACAATTCAATGTAACTATTCCATCAACCTATGCTCATGTAAGGGCTAAAATTAATGTCATTAGATATAAATATTAGAATTTGTGGATGACTTTAGTACCTACAACTAACCAAAACTGCTTATCTTTGCACGCACTCTATCTCTCTCTATTTATTTTCTAATATAATATACATTTATATAATCTATGATTTCTATTCAGAAGTTACACTTGAGCAACTCTTTTACATATTTTTTTCATCCATACTTATAGTATTTTTCCTTTACGCAACACACCTCTTTGTGCTTTCACTATATGTTTATTGAAACCTTAGCCTAAGTTATATAAACTCTTGTTTTGCCTTATATGTCATCACACCATGAATCTAGGTTTTACCTTTCAAATTTTAATCTTATTAGTTGCTAATTTTTTGTCCACATTTTAAGTTGAAATTCTTAGTGCTTATTGTGCCTTCTATTAAAAAATTTCATTTTCTATTTTACTAAAATAGTTTCTATGTCCTAAACTGCATTCTTAGTTACTACACTTTATCCTCTGTCAAAGAATTATGTGTGTATTAGTACTTCTATAAAAGTAGAGTGCTTAAAATTAAACTTTGAGTGCACTTATATACTATAATTCAGTAAAATACATAAATTTATCCAAGAAGATAATGTTTTACCAAATTTATTATCATGGAGTATTAGTATAACTAAAAATATGTTGTTAGTGTCATTAGTATGTGATTCGCTAAAGGAATATTTTGGATGATTGCTAAACCATCAAAGTATTTATTTATTGCTCATGCATGCATATATACTTTGTTTGCACGGTGACCTATAGAATGCATGTTTACTTTCGAACTACTCTTTTATATATCAATAGTTGTGGAGGTTAGTAATTTAGAAACATATATAGGCTTAGTTTATGATTATTTATCTATTTCATAATAGTAGATGATGGCAATTTAGAAGTGAACTTGAGAGTTTATTGATCTTAAGAATGGTGGAGCTCTATAATTTAGATGCAAAATTTAAGGGGTTACTTATGGGGTGTTTGATTTGAGTAACCACCTACACCTATATATGAGGTGGTGCATCATGAGTTCATCTCTCAAATTTGACAGAGTGGCTTTATTTCTCATGCAAATACTAATTATTAGCTTGTGAGGATTGATGTGATTATGAATTAACTCATTCCCACTTGCGAAACAAAAAAGCGAGGAGTGAGACACCTCCTTACATTATCTATTATAGTGGCATAGGTGTGAGGAGTGGGACATCTCCTTACATTATCTATTATAACGGCATAGGTGGGTAATTCAAATGCAATTTTAGGAGGCTATTTGATTGGCATAGGTGGGTAACTTAGAAGCAAATCTAGAGGTTACTTGATTGTCATTTATAAGAGGAGTTTTGTAAAACAACTCCCTACTTATATTTTTTGGCAAGAAAGAAAAAAATGTCCTCAAACAGTTTGATAAAGAGCTCCTTAAAAATAAAAAGTTGACAAATATCCTCTCCAACTTGTAAGTTGCAGTCGAGAGGAACTTTGTATCCGCTCCTCGTCTGGTGTTTTTCTTGGGAGATTGGAGTAATTGGATGCATGAGTAAATTAAGAAAATAAAGGGTTCCCGGTGAGAAAGCGGAAAAAGACAAAAAAAAACTATTAAAAAATGGTTTCATTGGTTAGAAATAGTTTAGGTCCCAATGCAAAAATCGTTTAGGAGTTAGCATAGGAAACTATTGGAGAGGGAAATAAATTGAGCTTGCTACTTATTTTGTTAACTCGCTAAATTTGTTGGTTTAGCAAGTTAATTATAAGAAACACTAATGGAATATTTGGATAATTAGATGTATATTTAGATGGCAATATTATGTTATTTTTTATAATGATAAACATGAGTAATTTTTTTATAACAGAATAGATCTAATTAGCGCCTATTGAGTTGATGTCTAGACTAGATTTTCTGATTTTGTGAGAATTTCTACTATTTACCTTTTTCATGAGGATTAATATGGATGCTCCGATGGGCCACCGTCTCCAATTAATAGTAGTAAGATTGGGATACGTAATTGAAATTAACATCAAGTCAATGTAATTATGTGGTTAGAACTAACAAGAGCAAAATAAGGTTAAATTAAGTAATTACCTTGTAAACTTTACCAAAACCCCCCTGCCCAATCTTACACGCTTCTGAAAAATGCGTGTTGCAGCCACGATATCCTCAAACCTAACGGAGAGGAATTCAGAGTCTTGGGCATGGTTTCCTTCAAGTTCATCCGATGTCATGCCATCGAAAATTAGCTTCCTACGCTTTTGCCCCATAGCTTATTTTACCTGTTCAATATTGTCTAACCAGTCCTTCGAATCGAAGAGTAAAATAGGCACGCGAAAGAATACAGCTATGTAGGGTTGTACCTTTGAACTTGAACCATGCAAGGGAAATGCCTGTGAGTATCAGAATGGCACTTAATAAAACTGCAGGTAGCACAATCTTGATTGTGTTGCTCTTGGCCCTCGTACCTATTTTTTAGAAGTCAGTTCAGAGTTTTGTGCTTGCATATATAGTACAATTGACAATTGATCAAAGCCGTGTTTTGGGAATCGCCGAGCCGCGTTCATTTTCTTCTGCGAAACGCGCGCTGCAGACCGTTCGGCGGCGTTTTCCGCGCATCTTGGTCGCCAACGCGCTTATGAGCGAAAACAAATAGGCCCAAAGTTTACTCAACAGAAACATTAGATTAAAAACTTGTTGCACACCTGCATCCAAGCCTGCGTTCCGGAGGTACAAAGTGTCTGTATCACCCTTCCCTGCGTCGATCAACTCGCCGGCCCACACCAAGCATCTCGTCAGGTCCTTCGTTCTGCTAGTGCTCAGATTGGCATAAGCATACGCCACGCACGAACAGTTTTTGGTGCACTCCGCTGCGCACTCCTGCGAGGTCCGGTTCTCGACGAGCACGAACTTGTCCGGCGATTGCATCCCCGGCAAGGCCAAGAAACGGTCGTCGCCGCACCGCAGCTCCTCCTTTCGCCGGCACCCCTGAGAGAACCTGCCGCTGTTCCAATCTTCTAAGCCCACTGGCTCAAAACCGTCGAGGCACTTGCACGTAGGGGCAGACACCGTGTCGTCGCAGTAGCCGTTGGGGCCACAGTGGCCGTATCGGTTGCACCCAGCACTCTCCGAACTGACAGCCCATGCGGACGAGCTGCTGTTCCAGCTTTGGAAGAGGAACGCGCCGGAGTCAGTGAGCACGTACCTGGTATGCTCGGCGCCGTCCGAGACGCTGAAGGTTACGTAGATTTCCTCCTGGGTGCTGACAACGGTTTGGTAGAAGATGACGCCGGTGAACTTGCGACTCAAGCCCCCAGTAACTGACTCGCCCGTCCATGGCCCGATGCGGAAAATCGGACGCGTTCCGTTCCAGACGAAGGTCTGAAGGAACGTGTCGGCGTCCCCGCCGAAGGAGAAGACCCCCGGCGATGGATCGTCGGGGCTTTTCCACGAGACCAGCCGGTCGCCGGCGCGCGTCGTGTAGTTGATCCGGATCTTCATGCCGGGGAGGAACGTGTCGGCTGGGTGATCGAAGCTCTGCCACAAGGTGGCGCCGTTCGGAGACCGGATGACGAGGTTGCAGGTGTTCAGAAGCACCGCCGCAGTGTTGCTGCCCGCCGTATCTGCACCGGCGACGTTTTTTTTTTTGAAAGATCAGGAGGTGCACCGGCGACGTTTGTCATCCAAAGAACACGGCCGTCGGCGCCGGACAGGATGAGGTTGGAGGTGTTGGTCAGGGACAGAGCCGGTGGCGAAGAGATAGCACTGCTGCTGTTTGTGACGGGGGTTTCTCTGTTGGCAACCCACACGACGGTGAGCCTGGGGATGTCGTTGTACCAGATGCCGAGGTACAGTTTGCCCGGGGTGGAGTTGGTGGGGGAGAAGAAGCCCAAGGCGAAGCTGCCGCCGTCGGACACGATGGTGGCGCCAGGGGAGAGCGGCTTGCCGGGGACGAGCCGGTCATCGGTGGCACACGATGATGCCAGCAGCAGGAGGACAGTGGCGGTGGCGTACCTGATATCTAGTCAAGCCATCGAGCACCTTGCTTGCAATGCGTTGACGAGCTGAATTCGTAGAGACGATGTGCTAATATGCTAGCTAGTGGAGTAGGTAGCATTGTTACGCACGGATCTGCATCCCAAACTTGGTCTATGGCAAATGATGTCAATTCTTCTCTCTTTTCTTTTCTCTTCTTTTTTATTTGGCATTGATTTCTTCTCTCCATTTTTTTTTTTTTATTATTTTGGCATTGATGACAAAACCCGGTTGAATTCTTTTCGGAACTAACAAAAATAATCTCCCCAACATCAGCAGTGCTAGCGCCCGGACATCTGGACGCACCGGACACCTGCACTCCATTTCGTGTGCCCACGCCGGCCCATGCTGCCCAACCCCACACGGGGACCGCTCACGCCCCCACCCCCCTCCGCTTCCCGGCCTGGAGGTTTGTGCCCCAATAGCAACATCCGATCTATTTTTAAAACATCCAGATGAAACATCTGCAACATGCGTCTGAACACTGATGAAATACTTGAAACATGCGCCAGAAACACTTGCAAAAACGCATGAAAACACTTTAAAAAGTTATTGCAAAACATATACAACATTCAGGATAAAACACTTCCAACATA